ACAAAATTTCGACCCGCGATCGATCGTCTCAACAGGTTTACTCGAGCCCTCGACGAATAACAGTGCAAGCGATGCGAATCGTGGCGATCAGACGCGTCGACTCTCCGAATTGCGAAGTTTGTGCGCGCGGGAGTGCGAATTGTGCAAAAGGCCACCCTAAGGCTCAAAAGGTCGTATAGGGATCCCTTTTGGGTTCCTCATGTTGGTTTCATCCTTCTAAGTGTTAGAAGTCGATACCACACACGCGAAACTCCAGAAGGGGACGGAAGCGGGTCGAACTAAAACGAGGCGGGTCCCACTTCTAAGGTTCTAAGATAGTCGCAGGGAGACCCCTAGAGCTAGATCCTAACTCCTACGAGGAATACTAGACCTCACGAAAAATTGAGGTCAACATCCTATCCATTGGTTCTCAACTTGTTGGCACTTTTTTCATCTACAATGGCCCTACTTTTGCTATCAATTTTGTATTTTGAATCTAATTCATAACAAACCTTAATCTTCTAAGCTATGTAAAATGTATGGTTATCCGGATTAAGTACTCCAAGTTGCTGTACTGATACCATATTTTGATAATGCTTTCTCCTTTTCTGGCAGCTTGGTAGACGCATAGAATCCATTGTTCTGCCATTGGAGCTGCTACAACAGTTTAAAGCTTCAGATTTTGCTGACCTGCAAGAGTATGAAGCTTGGAGGAGTAGAAACTTGAAGGTCCTCGAGGCAGGATTACTCCTGCACCCATTTGTGCCATTAGAGAAATCTGATGGTTCTTCTCAAAGGCTTAGGCATATCATACGTGGAGCTTCGGAGAATCCAATTGAGACTGGAAAGAATTCAGAATCAATGCAGGCTCTTCGCAGCACTGTGATGTCCCTTGCCTACAGAACAACACCTGGATCTTCTTGTGATGCGTGCCACTGGGCTGATGGCTCTCCTTTGAATCTAAACCTGTATCAAATGCTATTGGAAACTTTGTTTGATTATGTGGAGGGATCCATAGTGGAGGAAATTGATGAGGTTTTGGAGTTGTTCAAAAAGACTTGGGCTGTGCTTGGAATAAATCAGATGATTCACAATCTCTGCTTTTTGTGGTTTTTGTTTCATTGCTTTGTCACAACTGGACAGACAGACAGCGACCTTCTACTTGCAGCTGATAATCTGTTAATGGAGGTTGCAAAAGATTCTAAAACAACAAAGGATCCTATTTACGCAAAGATACTAAGCTCAACTTTGAGTTCAATAATGGGGTGGACAGAAAAAAGGCTTTTAGCATACCATGAGACCTTCAGTTCCAGTAACATTGAATTGATGCAATGTGTTGTCTCTTTAGGTGTATCTGCTGCTAAGATACTGGTAGATGATATCTCTCATGAGTATCGCCGCAGGAGGAGAGAAGAAGTTGATGTAGCGCGAACTAGAATTGATGCTTATATTCGTTCATCACTTAAAACTGCGTTTGCTCAGGTAATACCTTGTTTGTTTTCAAAGTAAAATAATCTATTTAGATCTTTCTACTTCCTTTTTGGAGTTCAATTTGCATGATTCCTGAAATAATGATATCAATATTTCCATTGTTTTGAAAAAATGTTGAGGTTTTTACAAAATGATGCATTTATTATTTACACAAATATGAATTTATGAGTTAGGAGAAGGTTCCCCCCGTCCCTAGTTATATCTCACAAGGCAAGCTTTATCAAACGTGTTGTTTTGAACTCATTTTAACTGAAGGTTAGAAATTGTCAATTTTTGTGTGAAAGGATTCATCTTCACACCCTCATTTTCTTCAAAATTGTCGAATAGGATTATAAAATTTAATGGCAGCTTTACTGAAATTGCATGCTAGTTCTGGTAGATATTTATGGTTCACCCTTAATGCAAAAATTAGTGTAGGATGCCTTGTGGCTTTGGTGAAATGATTTGCATGAGGCTTTTAATGGGCAGAATAAGATGTTTAGGGCATCAAAAGCAGATAGAATAAGTTAACATTGGAGATTATTAATTCTGAGCTATGATAGCTCTTCTCTATAAAAATGTATGTTGGTTCAACAAATGTCAGACAAGCCTATTTCATGTCTAATTTTAAAATAATTAAAAAAATTTGAGCACTCATACTTTTATTAATTAAGTTTAAAAATTATAAATACCAAGCAAATGCATAATTAAATGTTCCATTTTGATGATTTATGTTGTACCACACGGCTTGTGCTTACTTTTTGGATGCAATATTCTAGACAAAAATTATGCTTCATTGGATCCTCCTTTAAAATTACATAAACTGAAAAAATAATAAATAAAATAAAACAACTTATGCTTGTTTTTTTGTCTATAGTTGTAGATTTGATGTCAGATGCTTGATATGATCTCAAGAATCCCAGTGTAGGAAGAACAATTATCAGAATAGATTGTATAGATGATATCAAAACAGAGAAGAAACATTGAATCCAGGAACATGAGTTATTTTGAGAAACAGAAAATCTGAAAGCAGAAGCTCTAGATAATTACATACTTGTCGAGTTTATAACAAGCCACACTGCTCTTCAAACGAAAACCTCACACTATAAAGCCTCAAGAAAAAAAATATACATGCGAATTGTCCCTGTTAAGAGAACTTACACACGTATATAAAGTGTGTGAATACAGCCAGATAACTGGAAAAACAATAATTTCAGCAAATGTTGCCGATATTTAATATTGTGAAAGTAAAATTGTATTATATTTGGATTGCAATCTCAACCGTAATAATGTAGAAAGACTATTGATTATAATTTTTCATAAAATTGTATTATATTTCGATCTTGGGCTATTTTTCAAAGTGATGGTAATATAGATGGGGATGTTATTAGTAGAATTCATGTTGATTGGTTGAAGTGGAGGAATGTTTCGGGCCTATTATGTTATAGAAAAGTACCGCTTCAACTTATAATAAAAGGAAAATTTTATAAGATGGTAGTGAGATCTGCAATGCTTTATGGCGTTGAATGTTCGCCTTTAAAAGAGAAGCATAAAACAAAGTTAAGTATTGCTGAGATGAGAATGCTTAGGTGGATGAGTGGCTTGACACAAAGACAAAATGCGAAACGAATCTATCCGGCTCTAGTGGCAGACAATACTAGAGAGTGACGTGTGAAAAGATTACATGAATTTTTTTATATTTTGCACATCTTTTTAAATCAAAATTGCACTTTAAAGAAATGTATTTTTTATATTTTTCTTGCAGGTATAATATGTATTAGGAGTGGAAAGAAGTGAAAGAAATATGGATAGAAAATGAGAAGATTTGGAGCAAAAGGCATTTGTGAAGGCTGAGGCCATGACGCCAAATACTGCTCTCCTTGGCGCTGGCGAAGCTATGGCAACCCGAGACGCTTAGGCGCCAACCACTAGCCGCCAAGGCCATAGCCTCGAAGGCCAAGGCCATGGCTTCAGACTAGTTTGGCTCCTAGGCGCCAGACAAGGCGCCAACCACTAGCACCAAGGCCCCAGCCCTGAAGGCCAAGACAATGGCACTAGATTTGTGTGGCACCTAGGCACCAGTACCGAATTCTGCACGGTTTTGGGCATTTCGAGCCCCTTGTTCGTGGCATCTCTTGGGCAAACTGAGGCAATTTTTTAGGGAGCTATTAAGAGGACTTGGAAAGGAGTATTGAAGGAGGGCTAAAGGAAATATTATGGAGTATCATTAGGGTTAAAGAGGGAGCCTTGGGAGAGATTTTCCTCCATTATTGTGAGAGTTCATAGGCTTATTCTAGGCTTGTGAAAGCAAGACTAGGTGAGTGAATTGCCGTGTTTGTGAGTGCTTGGGTGAAGAGTTTGCAGGAGAAAAGTAAGAACTTTGATGGAACATTCTCATGGGAAATTGAGAGAGAGAGATAAGTATATTTGTGTTTTGGGTTTGTAGTTTTCTGAAACACTTTTGTATGTTGAATCTCTTTGTATCAATGCATTCTTGTTGTGTTTTATCCATGTTTTCTGAATAAACATCTTTGCTTTTTCTTGTGGTGATATAGTAGTTGTGCAGGAATTTGGGTTCATTTCTGAAATTGCCCTGAATTCAAATTGTAATGATTTTGCTTCTGCACTTAGTTTACTTTTCAATTTGGCCAATTGATCTGTTAAAATGTGTTGTGAACCCATAAGGACGAAGAGCTTTGACATGAATGCCAAGGAAATCACGTTGAATTATAGGGTATCAAGCAAAAGTACAGTGTAGGGAGATAAACTTCATTGGGTTTAAAGTGAGACTCTTAAGGAATTAATGTCACTTTAACCAAGTTTCTTTATACGCTCGGAAGAGAGTAAAGAAGATTTATGTTTCTATTTGTCACTAACATTATCTTATTTTATATTTCTTCCACATCTACGCTATACTATTATCACTGTAAGGAAAAGTAACTTAAACACTTGGTACAACCAATTCACATAGCGTAGTTAGAATTTATGTAGGTGTAATTTTAGATTATTTTAGTTGGATTGATAGTATAACTCAACTATTTGAAAATTTCAAACTAAGAACAAATTTAGTGGACTAGAACATTATTCTATTTTGGATTCATATTGTTCCCTGTGGTATCAACAACTTAGACTCGAAAGAATTCGCTACTACACATACGATACGTACGAATTTAGTAAACTTCATTGGATTCCTATTGTTCCCTGTGGCACATCCATACCGCCCAACAAAGAGAGTCGTCTTAGATAGTTTGGTCACATTAAACGTCAACCATCTACTGATCTGGTCAGGAGAGTAGATGTTTCAGATTCGACTTTTGATAAGAAAGACACAGGCAAGCATAAAAAGACGTGGGCATATTGTATAAAAAATGATATTAATCTATTAGAATTAAATGGAATCAGGACACATTGGAGAAAAATGATTCATGTAGACGGCCCCACTTAGTGGCATAAAGGCTTGTTGTTGTTGTTGTTTTTGTTGTATTATATTTGGATCTAAATCTCAACCATAATATTCTAGAAAAAAATATTGATTATTAAATCTTTTTCAAGTTATTATTAGAATTTGATTATTTATTTCTTTTTTACTTAATAATATTTATTTTCTTGAACCTTTTTTTCACCACTATCATGATTTATTATTAGTAAACCTATCAACTTGTTTATCCTTATAATGCTATAATTTTTTGACTTATTATGTTTATTTATTGTAAAATTTTCACTTTTATTGCATATGTTACGATAATTTTGATATTAGTATCCATTATTTTAAAATTGATAAAATAAAAAAAATTATAATGCAATGTCAAATGGTATGTATGTCTTATATTGTCAAAAACAATCGGGTCCTATGTCCATGTTGTAATGTTTCTATATCCTTTTGGGAGCATCTTATATCCTAAGTTGCACTGTTATACTTTTTTACAGGGGCAATGTCCTCTGTTTCTTCTTGTGCTTAATTGAGTATTGTGTTTTATAGCTAGATTATTACCTACAAGTATGCTATGCTATATTTTGCAAAAGTTTACATGCTAGCAATGCCCGCTGTTATAAATCATGAAAATTTTATCTTTTAATTGATTATTTGCTTTATTTCATAATATCTTAGACGATGGAAAAGGTAGATTCAATCAGGCGTTCATCTAAAACTCAGAATGCTAATCTTCCAGTTCTTGCCATTCTTGCGAAAGACATAGGCGATCTAGCTAAAAAAGAGAAAGACATTTTTAGTCCAATATTAAAGAGATGGCATCCCCTAGCTGCTGGTGTTGCAGTTGCCACTCTTCATTCTTGTTATGGAAATGAATTGAAGCAATTTATATGTGGTGTCAAAGATCTGACTTTTGACTCTATCCAAGTACTGAAAGCAGCACAAAACTTAGAGAAAGACCTTGTACTGATTGCTGTTGAAGATTCTGTTGATAGTGAAGATGGTGGTAAAGGACTTATACGTGAAATGCTCCCATATGAAGCTGAGTCTGTTATTTCTAGTCTAACAAAATCTTGGGTAAGAGCAAGGGTGGAGAAGTTAAGGGAATTGGTTGACAGAAACTTGCAGCAGGAGGTATTATTCCAATCTGATCTTTTGGGCTTTTCTTCTTATCTTTTAATGTTGCATTTTTATTTTGATCTTTTGCAAATATGAAATAGTTCAATAAGAGAGGGTTAAACTTGTTATCATCCTTCAATGAGTATTTGCCCACAAAACCTCCACAACATTCCCATTAGAGCAGACTTTAACCACCAAATCCTTAATAGACTGGTTTTAAGCGATAACTTATTTGGTCTACTTGTGATTTACTATGGTACTACTTATTTGTAGAACATTTAGCCCATGAATCGTTAAGTCAGTTTTAGGACAGTAGTGGTTGTGGATCTTACATCAAAGTTGTCATTGGATATATTATGTACGGATCCAAAATATAATTTATAGGCCCTTAAGATCTTGGTTTTTATTTATAGATTTTTTTACAAGCTGGTCTCTCTTCTTCAAGTCACATGTACCCTTTTGTTTAAAAAGTAATGCATTCAAAGAATTTAGCCATTTTTAAAAAAAATCGTAATCTAATAGATATATATGGAATAGATAGCACTCTGTGAATAAATGAATATGGAGGAACTAATAACTAATATTTTGGGATGAGGTTAATGATGACGATGCTCATCATGATGATATCATCACATCATCATCATCTTCTTCATCATATTTGACCAAGAGATGTGATTCTTTATTTTTATTTTACTACTTTAAAAAATAAAAATTAAAAAAAAAATAATGAGCATGTATGTTTGATTCACATGCATTGAATATTAAATTTTAATTTTAAAAGTATATAAAATAAATAATTTAATTTAAGCAATATTTTTCTTTTTTTTTAAAATATATTTGCTAAAATTAAATTAATAGCTGCTTATCATTAATTTTATCCTTTTTAATTTGCTTTATTTTCTTATGATATTTTTATAATATTTTTATTTTTGTTTTTTAAGAAAATAATCAAATTCCTTAACTTCAACCTTACAATCTATAATTTTATATTACTTTTGAACCTCTCAAAATTTTAATATATTTTTATATTATGAGAAATTGAAATGAATGTATTATTATCTGTTTATACACACACATATATATATTAAATTTTGAATAAATAACATTATAATTTCAATGCATATTCACACTCTATTATTTCAATAATAAATCTTCTCGTGTTTGTATCCTATGTCAGTAATAATGCATCATAATTTGAGAGCTGTACTATTCAAAATCAATATAATTATAGATTAAGATACAATTGTGTTGGTGTTTTAGGGGACAACTTGCTCATGGGTATCCATCATTTTACATTTATTTTATGTGAATATTTGATAGGTTTGGGTGCCTCAGCATTGTTTTAGGCATGCACACGTATGACTTGGAGAAGAGAAAAAAGAGAGGAGAAGCTTAGGGCAAATTAGAAATACTCGCGTCCAATTGAGGAGCCAAAATTTAATAGCATGGATGATGAATTAAAAAATTAAGGGGTGGTGAATATTTAAGTTTATGACTTCTTTCTTCGTAATTTTTTTAAAACTATTGTAAATATAATTATTAAATTAAACAAAAATTAATATTAAACTATTATTAAAGTATTTAAGTCTGGCTGGGTTAAATTGATATTAAAGTGTTTGAAGTTTGGCTGCCAAAAATTTTAAAATTATTATAAATATAATTATTAAATGAAAAATAAAATTAATATTAACTATTATTAAGTATTTAAGTTTAGGAATGTCAAAATTTTGAGTGTATTATATTGAGGGCTACAAAAATTTCAATGCTCTGGACTCTATTTGTGTTTTTCTTAGAGAGCTTTAAGGGTCAATTTTTCAGAAGATAGATGAATTAAAAAAATATATATTTCATTCAATTTTCACATTCATTCTAATGGTCACTATTTGTGGGTCCGTTTGGTTTGGACTCTTTCCATAAAGGAGGTTAATATGCTGTTTTGGAAAATATTTTTTTATAGTTAGGTTCAAAATTACTTTCAAAAACAGTTTTTTTAAGATTAAATTTATGAACTATTATTATTATTATTATTTTTTACCCAAATGGTTTCAACAGTCATACGAAAAATCTAACCATATGAGCCCTTAACTTCTATATGATTATCTTGTGATGCTTTTATTAGTTTGGTGATAATGTTGTCAATTTAAGTTTTTGATTAAAATTTATGAACTAATAGTTCTTTTTTGTTTACCCGACTGGATTTCAACTGCCATGCAACCTACCTAACCAAATGACTCCTTTGATTACAGAATGATTCTCGAAACTGCCGTAGTGTACCACATTCTATCATCACCCTCTATCCTAAACTGGCTAATTAACATCCACCAGAGACCCAAAACTAACTCTACCATTCTGTTATAATGTAACATAGCTAAATTAGTTTATATGTAGGCTTTGAAATTGCATTATAGATGAAAATGGAATACAAGTTTTGCACTATGATGTATCCTTGTTTCTCTTTTCTATTATTCTCATTTTAGTTCTCTGATACCGTATCAGAGTCAACAAGCTACGCTGTCCTAACTTCTCCCTTCATATTTCTTTCGTTCCAAACCCATCTTCTCCCTTTCTCAGTCAACATTTCTCTTCACTTTGTTGCCCATGGCAGATACATTCACCACCTCCCAATCCAATACACTACAAAGCTACTCGACTTTGGAAGTTCAAAGTTCTCAAAATTGGTCATGCCAAAGGGTTTGAAGGATATCTGGATGGCTCTACATCCTACCCACCTAGACAAACTACCAATATCGACGGAGAAGTCATTTTAAATCTAACCTATATCACATGGATGCTCATCGATCAAAATCTTGCAACTACGCTCTACCCTACCATCTTGGACTCCATTCTTTCATATGTTCCAACGCCAATCTCTTGTTTTGAAATACACTCTTCGAATGCCATCTCCAATTCTCCAACAGGTATTGTATCATTAAACTTAAAAATGAATTACACCAAATTCTCTTTAGTGGTAAAACTATGACACCATACCTCTTAGACTTTAAAACCAAAACTGATGCCATCTTTTCTGTCGGGATTCCACTAAACTTGGACAATATTCTCTAAATCTTGAACGGTCTACCCCCTCAATACCAAAATTTCAAAATATCTATTGGAACAAACCACCAACAAACTAGCTTAAATGAATTTTACTCCCTTCTATGCAATGAGGTGACTAATCAAGCTACCTAAGAAACTCGCAATAATCTCAATCCTTAAAAACCCACGAATTATACAACACTTCCAATTGTACTACAAAGTAGTGGAGCCCGTTTTTTCTGCAGATTATCTCCTAGAAGTCGATCATAACCTATTTCAGCAGCAGCTGGTCGAATTTTAGTCACCAACAGATGTGGTTGCTAGATCACTTCCATGATCATTTTGTCAAACATGTTTACTAAAGAGGTCACTTTGCAATATGTTATTGCCACCGTTATGTTATTTACAATAGCCTTTACTCACTCCAAGCTTTCTTTGCTGGCGTTGGGAGCTCAAATCAATTCAAGAGCGGCAACCGAGCTCACTGCGGTCCCATTGATCTCTACAACTCTCACATACAAAAGCACATAGCAAGTCGCAATCGAAAGGGCTACTCTCCCACGTGTCCACTTTGACAAAGGTGTCCTTTCAATATCAACAAGTAAACTTCTTTTGTCTTGCTCTTTGATGTACCGAACGTTGTACAAGTAAACTTCTTTTATCTTGGTTTATTATGTTTTTCAAAAACTCATGTACCATTTCATTTGACACGAGTGCATTTCAAATTCAACGCTCGAAATGGGCCGTCTTCTTCAAGAGGGTCCTTGTCACCATGGCCTTTTTCCAATCTGTCAGAGCCAAAGTACTCAACACTCAACATTTAGCTCTACCTTCAAATAAATACTTTCTGGCTCATTGGCACCGAGATTTGGGGCATCCAATCACTGCCATACTCTGGATAAGTTCAAAACATAAACTCATATACAAATTCCTCTTGAACCTCATGTATGCTCTTCATGTAACCTTGCCAAAAGAAACAAATTATCTTTCCGGAACTCTACTAATAGCTCTCATTTGCTTTCTTGCATTTACATTAATGTAGGGTGCCCTTTTCTCACCATCTCAAAGCATGGCTATAAATACTTTGTTGTATTCAGATAATTTGACATGCTTTTGCTGGTGTATCTCATGACATTAAATCAGAAACTCCCCATAAATTCATATTTTAAACATATGGTTGTACGGGAATGCTCATTAAAAATTAAAACTCTGTTCTAATAGTGCAGGCTAATATCTGAACTCTGATCTAAAACCTATTTCACCCAATTAGATATCATCCATTAGTACACCTGGCCACATACACATCAGAACAAAATGATGTTACCAAATTCAGGCACCATCAATCAATTGAAAGCATTTGTACTCTTTTGCTAGAAGCTAATCTCTGTCACCATCTATCCATTGACACTCTATTAATAGCTATATATTTTATAAGAGATTACTTTCATCTTTAATTTGTATGATTTCTCCATATCAAACTCTTCACAACAAGCCACCCTCATTTGCCTATCAGAATTCTACTCATAGTGCCGCTCACCGGCAATTGGCTAATTCTCAAAGTCAATATCTCCAATGCATTTCTTCATGGTATCCTCTCAAGGATTCATTGACTAACAACATCCCAACCATATTTGTTTCCTCAAAAAATTCTCTTTTAAGGACTTCATCAAGCCTCCCACCAGTGGTTTGCAAATTTCACCTGCCTTAAAAAATTGTTCTCTCCTCCAATACAATGAATCCCTTTCTATAATGTATAATTTTCGCTCTTTTTTATTATCATTATTTTAATCCTCCATCTAACCTCTATATGATTATAATGCGATGATTTCGTAAGTTTTATGAATTGTTATTGATTTTTAAAATTATTTTATCATATTTTAGATGTGGAATCCAAGGGCAAACAAAGAAAATTTCGCTCCTTCTGCCGTTGAAGTTCTTCGCTTGGTTGATGAGAGCTTGGATGCATTTTTTCAATTGCCCATTCCATTCCATGCAGCCTTACTTCCTGATTTGATTGTTGGACTGGATATATGTTTACAATACTATGTTGCAAAGGCCAAGGCTGGATGTGGTAAGTTTGAAGCTCCTATAATTTTCTAACATTAGCCTGTAATGTAAGTAGCAGTGTAAACGAGCTGAGCCTAAGCAAGCCCGGTGTTTGTTTGTGTTTAGCTCGTTCTATTTTTTTTTTTTGAAGTTGCAGTATTCAAAATTGTTCTGCTTGATTTGAATTTATTTGTTTGTTTTAGCCATTGTTCTGCTCGAATAATTAAAAAGTTAATGAATTATATATATAATTTTTAACTGCATAAAAAATGATCTAAAAAGATTTTATTAAGTATAATTTTTTAATTATTTAATTAATTCGAGCTAAACAAGTCATACGTGATCATATAGAAGGTTGTTCCTGTGCAGCCCTTTTATAAATCGTTTGCTTAAATTTGCTCAACGAACGAATTGAACAAGAATCGCTTAGCGAGGCAAACACGAGTTGTTTCCGAATGACGAGCTTTTTTGACATTTTTAAATGCAGGCATATATCAAACCATCTAACCACTTTCATCAACATTCAGGAACTCGAAATTCTTTTCTTCCTGAACTTCCTGCATTAACCAGAGTCGAAATTGCATCAAAATTATGGAAGAAAAAGGATAAATCTCAAAACCCACAACGAAGAAATATCCAGAATGGATCATTGAATGGAGAAAACTCATGCAGTTTACCACAGTTCTGTGTACGCCTAAACACTCTCCATCACATTCAAACTGAATTACTAAACCTGGAGAAAAAAATCACAAATTGCATAAAAGACCTCGAATCTTCTCCACAAAACATCACAAATCCACCCGAAAACAAATTCGAGCTCACCCTCTCCTCTTCCCTTGAAGGAATCCAACAATTATGCGAGACGACAGCATACAAAGTCGTCTTCTTCGATCTCAGCCATGTTCTATGGAATTTCTTGTATGTTAAAAATCCTTCTTCCTCAAGAATTGATTCCTTCCTCAAAGAACTAGATCCCAAGCTGGAGACTATCTCCACCACCATGCACAACCGAGTCCGAAACCGAGTCATAACCGCCCTGATGAAAGCTTCATTCGATGGATTCCTTCTCGTCCTCCTCGCCGGCGGCCCATCACGCGCCTATACTCGTCACGATTCTCAGATACTAGAGGAGGATTTCAAAGCTCTTAAAGATCTGTATTTGGCTGATGGTGATGGGTTACCATTAGAAGTGGTTGAGAAGGCTGCAACCCAAGTTCAAAATATTTTGCCTCTATTTCGAGCCGAAACTGAAAGCCTTATTGTCCGGTTCAAACAAGTCATCATCGAGACCTATGGTTCTTCTGCCAAATCAAGGTACCCTATGCCACCAACATCGGGCCATTGGAGCCCGGCGGAAGCCAATACTATTCTTCGGGTTCTATGCTACAGAAATGATGATGCCGCTTCAAAGTTTCTGAAGAAAACATACAATCTGCCAAAGAAATTGTAGTCCATGAATCAGGTCCAGTTTGCATGTAATTTCATGCAGACTGAAGCTCCAAATATATATATATATACATAATTCAATGGGATTCTTTAGGCAAAAAAGGAGATGAAATGCAAGGTATGGTTGTTTACTTTCCTTGCTGTAGTTTTCATGTTTTATAAATAGTTTTACTTATTTGGTTGGTGGGTTGGAAGTCTGTGAATAGTTTCAGATATTATTGAGGCTAATTTGTATTTTTTATTTTAATCATAAATGGAGATTATATTTCTTTCTTTTTTTTTCAAAAAAAGGCGCAATTACATGCAGATCACCCGAAACTTGCTATTTGCAAATCAACCACCATCTTTCATCCATTTTTCAAATCCTCACTCAAATATGCAAATTCATGATAAACACCCCCCCCCCTATTTTTCATTTCTATGAAATTCTCAATACTTTGAATGTGGCACTCATGAATACGTTGATTCGGTAGTTCAAAAAAATCACATGAGTGGTTAATTTGTAAATATCAATGTTTCGAGTGGTCAGTATGTAATTATTCTTTTTTTAAAAAAAAAATTCATCTAATCGCCGTCTTAAGTTGGTAATTTCATTTGGGGGCGTTTACATACATACCATACAATTCCTATGTATTTACAAATCTGGTGCGTAATTTTATTTTTTGCATTTATACCACCCAAAATTTTCATATCCACATGAAATACCAGCCTTGTAACTTGTAATATTACTTTTTACATTTATACCACCCAAAATTTTCATAACCACATGAAATACCAGCCTTGTAACTTGTAATGCACCTTGTAAAATTTGAAATTTAGGTGTTTGATATGTAAATGCGTAGGATTTTACTAGATTTGGTTAGATGATTAAGTTATTTTATTAAGGGACCGTTTGGGGCAGCTTAAACGCCGTCGTACTGTTTGGTTTGCGCGTTTCACCAGCTTATCCGAAATTGCGTTTGAGTTTTTTACACTAAATGCAGGCCACGGGTCGGCCCCTGCGGGCAATATCCGAAATTGCGTTTGAGTTTTTACACTAAATGCAGACCACAAGTCGGCCCCTGCGGGCAGCCCGCGGGCCGCATTTCAAGATAAACAGTTTATCCTGAAACGCACAAACTACCCCAAACGATTTTCAGGATAAGCAACTTATCCTGAAACGCACAAAAACTACCCCAAACGAACCCTAAATTTCAAAAAGATGGAGCGAAATATATTTTGATTATTTAAAAAACAACAAGCATCAAATAACTATTTTTTGGTAAAACTCATAAATTTTATTTTCATAGTATTATTCCTAAATTTAATAGAGATTGGTAAATTTATATAATTTCACTCAATTCAAAATAGATTGATAAATATAATATACAATTTTATTTCTTAATAATTTCTAAGAAAAAACAAATTTTTAACCCACTTACAAAATAGGACTTTGATAAAACTAACATAAATTGCTAATCATATCATCTAATATGCTTTAAGTAATTCAATTACCTAAACTCATTCATCCAATTAAATGATTTATTATATATATGAGATTGCAAAAGTCCACTTTTTCATTTTTATAAATTATAGAATAATAATTTGACTTTGTAGACATTAGTAAATGTCACTAGAAATACAATGAAGTTTGATGATGACAATCATACCATAACATTTGAGTGATATACATAGCACAAAATTCTCTTGCATTTATTTATCTCGGGCCTAAATGTCCGTATTTACAGATATAACACTCAAATCATTGACATCACATAAAAAAAAATATCATTATTACCGCTTTTTACAATTGAAATACACATTTTCATGCATAGAACATGCAAAACATCAAAATGCTATAAAAATGTAGAACATTTGTATGTGAATATAAAAAGTTTGATTTGTGATAGGTAAATAGGTGATAATAGTGTGCTTTGCATGTAAATTTCCCTATATAAAATTGAAGTTTAGTGGGTAGATTTCTAAATACATGAAAATTGAGTGGTATGTATGTAAATCTTCCAAACGGGAGAGAGAGAGAGAGAGAGAGAGAGAGAGAGAGAGAGAGAGAGAGAGAGAGAGAGAGAGAGAGAGAGAGAGAGAGAGAGAGAGAGAGAGAGAGAGAGAGAGAGAGTGGCTGCAGCAGAACCGCACGTGGGCGGGTCCGGGCCGGGATTCTGGGCGACGCAAGCAGACCCGCTGCGTACGAAAGCGGACCGGGTTGCGGGTCACGTGAGAGGCGG